GGACCGCCGACGGCAACCCCCTGCCTGTGGCCGCACGTGAGAGGAACCAAGCGGTGGTGGGCGCCTCCCCACGCTCGGGCGGCAGCTACTGCTGCGTGTGGTCGCCGCGCTCCTGGGCACCAGCTGCTGCCCACGGCCCTGAGCAAGCCCAGCCTCTTCGAGGGGCCTCAGCCGCCACCCCGAGCGTGGAGCTGCTGCTCTGTCCCAGAAGGCCTGTGGCCCGGTGCACACGCTCAGGTCCTGCCAGCTGCAAGCCCAGCACAGTGGAGGCGTGAGGGGGGGCGCTGAGCCTTCCCTGAGCACCGCTGTGTGTTGTGTGCGGTTTTGGGCTGGCTTGTGTCACCCTTGTGTCACCCCGGAGCCACCATTCACCATCAGACACCAGAGCCAGGCTCCGTTTCCCTTTCCAAGTCCACTTTGGGGACCGTTTGCTTCCCCCTCTGCCTACGACCTCCCTGGGCCTTTTCTTTCCTGTTGCTCAGTCTGGGGTAGCTGTGAGATCTGGACCCTTCCTGGGTGCCCGAGGTGTCCTCTTGCCCTCACTCCCTCCTCTTCCCCTGGGCTGGCGAGCCTCAGGGGCCCAGAGCCTCCACGTCCGGCTGGGTCCCGTCAGCCGCCTTCCCAGGCCCGCTGGCCGGCTGCCGGCAGCACGGCCCGTTCACCGTGGGTTTGCCTCCCTGAGCTGGTCGACCGTCCTTAGCTGACTGCAAAGTGGAGGAAGTCTCGGTATTTGCACTGAGCAGTCCTGTCATGCAGGGATGGAGATGACAAGCTTGCGCTCAACCTCATGGTTCCAATTCCAGCCCTGTGGTCTGCTCGCTGTGTGACCTTACCCTGGTGCCCAAGCTCTCTGTGCCCACCTCGCACCTGTGGGGGAGGAGTGGGTGACCCCACCCCTCACATGACAGAGGCCTTGCCCAGGGCCTGTGGTAGCTCCCATGGGAAGCATGGCCTTGCACTGCATTTCTGGTGTTTTTTTAAATTTGTTTATTTAATTTTGTTCATTGAGACAAGGTCTTACTGTGCCATTCAGTGTAATCTTGAACTCACTATGGAGCCCAGGCTGGCCTCAAACTTGTGGCGATGCTCCTGCCTCAGCCTCCCAAATATGCCGCCACACCCAGCCTTAGCTGTGTTCTTGCAAATCTGCGTCTGTCTTTGTACCAGGTCCTCCCCATGCCTTTGGGCACAGCTGCCGCTCTGGAGGGCACCTGCGCAGTGCAGACCCCATGGGGCATCTCCACGGCTCCGTGGTTCCTTGGCAGTGGCTGGTGAGCCCAAGCTGCCCTACAGGACGAAGGTCCATGCCAGCCACCCTCCTCCCTGGCCCCGCAGGGCTCTGACCGCAGGGCTCAGGGCGAGTGCATTGCAGACACTGGCTGGAGCCTGGGCCCGAAGCTGTGGGCTTCAGCAGAAGACTGAAATGTCCCAGGCCACAGTGTGGACTTCACCACTTGGCAGGTCGGGGCGCTGCTTTCCTCAGAGACACTGGGCCTTATCCCCAAGTGCACTGTCCGGGGGGTGGGGTCGCAGGAAGAGGATCGAGGACTCAAGGACAAGACACGGCAGAGGGGGGCACCTGGAGGCCAGCTTGGTCTTCAAGGGTGCTCTGCTGTCCTTGCAGGCCTGGGGATGGCTGGCAGGTGCCTGCAATGTGACAGAGGTGGGAACATCCCCCATGACACACCCAAGCAGAAGAGCCAATGGGTCCCCAAGAGATAAACAGGCAGATGTGAAGAGCCCTGTGACCTGGTGGCCCTGTCTCTAAATCACCCATGGAAGGGTGCTGGTGTCCTGGGTCCCAGGCAGGCTGAGGTAGACCCCTAGGGTTATTTGAGACATGGTCTTGGTTTTTGGTTTTTTGTTTTTTTTTTTTGAACTTTTTGAGTCAGGGTCTCTCTATGTAGTTCAGGCTGGCCTTGAGCTCACTTTGTGGCTCAGGCTGGTCTCGAACTTGTGACGATCCTCCTGCCTCAGCCTCCCAGGTGCTGGGATTACAGGCGTGTGCCACCACACCCGGCTCTGGACAGGGTCTTGTTAAATTGCTTATGCTGGCCTCAAACTTGAAATCCTCCTGCCTCAGCCTCCTGAGTAGCTGGGATCACAGGTATGTGCACCACTATACCTGTCTAGGCTGAACGTATTCTAAAGTTGCAGTCATCCTGAGCCGTTTCCCTGGTGTGTTTATTCGGCACTCTCATTCTCTCGAATTCTGACACAGGATGCACCACAGTTCCTCTTCTGCAGCTGAAGAAATCCAGCTGTGTGACAAATTCAAAGATGGGCTGGTGACAGAACAGCTCCAGGTGAGACTTTCTCTCTCTCCCTGTGACAGGGTCTCACTATGTAGTTCATGCTGGACTTGAGCTGCCAGCAACCCTCCTGGCTCAGCCTTCTGCCTGCTAGGATTACAGCGTGCACCACCAGACCCAGGAGTGTGGCGTCTTATTGAGCTGCCCAGGCTCGGCGGCAGAGCCATTCCCCCAGGACGTCCTACATCCAGAGGTGGGCGGGCCTGGAAATTTGTGTTCCACCCAGCGCTGCCAGGGAGCTAAACTTAGCCCCGAACGAGCCAGGAGTGGGCTCTGAGTATAGATAGGAACGAGGGGCTATTTTCAGGCCTCTGGAGAACCCCGGAATATTCCAGGCCATAGTGGTATTTATAGAGCCCTGGGCTCCGAGAAGGGAGAGTAACAACCTTACCCCTCCTTGGCGTCCAGGAGTGGCTTCTTTCAGCGGGGATAGGGCGCAGGCCTCGGGGCCCAGGAGGGCTGCCACCCACCCACACCTATTCCGGGAGGCAGGCTCTGGACTGAGCTCACCCTTCTCTGGGTGCACTGGGCAGGTGCCCCATCCTCCATCCCGCTGCCCGATTCCTAGACCTCTGCTCCTCCCGCCACCCCGACCCAACTGTTGACCAAAATCCCTGCTTCTAGCTCGATGCTAGGGTCCAGGGACACCTGGGCACCCCCTTTCCCCGCCCCCACTATGGCCCTGGGACACATCCAGCTGTATGCCTGGAGGTTTGCTCAGAAGACCTGGGACTACAGGGCCACAGGCACTCCTGGGCCTCCAGCCTGGCCTGGGGAGCTCAGTGAAAACTATCTCAAAATAAAAAGTTTTCAAAGGGCTGGGATCAACCCCCAGTGTCACAGAAAGGGGGCCTTCTCCAGGGAGGGGGTGGCACTCTGGTGAGTGAATTGGGGTGCCAAAGGAGGCAGGCGGGGACCCCAGGCAGCAGCCCCCAGAGGAAAGCCATGAGCGGTTCCCAGTCTGGGGCTGCTGGGAAGGCCTCAGAGGCCCCAGCGAGCGCACTGCAGGCGTCCTCGGCAGCAGCCACATGGCCGGGGCACAGGTGTCGGGAGGCTCCGGCCACTGCACGACCTCAGCCCGCCCTGCGAGGTGGGGAGCCTCCTCCATTCACTTCAGTCAGGTCCCTGGCAGGTGCCTGTGCCCTCTCGCTTCTGTGCCAACGCACCCTGCACAGCCCTGGCCACCACCAGTCCAGATATAAATATACGTGCATTTTCCATGGGCTGGTCCTGCAGGAAAACATTCGGCTTTATTTTGGGCCTGTGAAATTCCCTTCCTTCATACCGACAGGTGCAGCAGCCCCATTTAGATGCGGGGCCCCAGAAATAGATTCACCCACACACAGCTTCCTTTAGGCGCTGGGTGCTGCTCCAGAGGAACCTGCCCCGGCCCCTGGGCGTGGCGCTGGGTCTCTCGGCCACTGGGGTCCCTCCCTGGGTGGCCGCCTACTATGAGGACAGGCCCTTTGGGACACAGCTGCTGCCTCCGCCTGGCCCGGGTGGGCAGCCACCCTTGCTTCGCCCTGGCGGGAGGTGGAGAGGAGGGCACTAGGGAAGGGGACCTGACCCGGCTGGGAGGGGGCTCCAGCAAGTCCCAGCGGGGACCCAACTGCCCCTGCTGCCTCTGAAGATGGAGGGAGGGCGTGGGGACTACAGTGGGCGTGGCCCCTCAAAGTCCCGGCCGAAGCCCCCACCCCAGCACCGTGGAGGTGACCCTGGAGACTGCGGTTACGGTCAGGTTGTGCCCGGCAGGGTGGGTCCCCAGTCCAGAGTCTGCTGACCTCAAAGAAGCAAGACACAGAGGCAAGGAGACCGGGATGGCCAGTGCCCCTCCGCTCAGAAGGCCAACTTGGAGGACATTTGCCCCAGAACCCTGTGCTGTGGCCCCCACTCCAGATACACAGCTCCCTCCAGACCCGGGAGGCAGGGAGCCTGGCCTTCTCAGGGCACTGTCAGGTTGAGCTGCAGCACAGCTCCAAGGTCATCTTGCCCAGGGCACCCTGTGGCAGCAAGGCCTGGTTCCCTCCAGGATGTCCCCTTGGGCCCTCAAGGCTCAATGCCTCTCTGGGCCTGGCCAGCATCTAAGGGCTGAAACTGCAGGCTGCCACATGGGGCAGGGGCTCCTGCCAGGCTTGCCCCAGAGCAGCTGAGGGTTGAGCCACGAGGAGAAGGTGCTGTGCATGTGTGTGGTTGCAGCAGACCTTCTAGAATATTCCAGAATGTTCTCTCACACAGGAAGCTGACAGCATAGGGTGAGAGGGGAGCTGCCAGAGGCACCCAGGTCGCATTCCCTGGTGCGGCCAGAGGTGGAGCTGGTGACAGCAGGACAAGTTTTCCTTAAGCCCCCACCCACTGTCCTCTTGGTGAAGGTGTCAAGGCGCCTTGCTCAGGTCTGGTTGTCCCCTCCAGATCAAGTTGAGCTGGTCAGAGCTGGGGGTACTCCTATGCCTCACTGATGCTATACCCAGCCCCCCTGCACCCCTGCTGTCCCCAGCCCCCGCCCTCCATGGCCTGAGCCCTCAAAAGCACCATATTCCCTTCACTCCTCCTGTTGTCCCTGCTGACCCTTCCCAGGAAGGCGCCTGGCTGGCCACTACCAAGCTCCTCCCCTGGGAGGGCCCCAGGGGCCCCAGGGCTTGTTGTAGGGGATTCTGAGACCCAGAGGACCAGGTGGGACTCTGAGAGCCGGGCAGACAGGGCTCTTTATTCCCCACAAGACCAGGTGCCCACCCCCTTCTATTACCCACCCACTCCTGTTTTCCCCACAGGCTCCATCTTGGGGTAAGTGGTGTGGCGGGGAGGGCACACTCAAGGCAAGAGACAGCCGTGCCCTCCCATGTCACAGTGCCATCCACTCACTGCAGTTAGAACTGCTCCTTCAAGTTTCGAGGGGCCCTGGGTAGCCTGTCACAGCAGGAACCATCCAGTGCCACTGAATCCCCCCAAAAGTGTCCCACTCTTAGAAGAGCAGGACCAGAAACCGGGCCAGGTCAGAGGTGGAACAGTGGCAAATGTGCCCATGAGGTGGGGTCCCCAGGGTCTAGCTGGATGCAGGGTTGGCCTCTGTCCTCCAGGACCCCAGGTGACAGGCTGCCTGAGGCCAGCCGGCCCTCAGCTCTCAGGGCAGGGGGCACCCTCAGGGGCCAAGCAGCAGCCAGCCTCCTCATGCCGTGCCAGGAGGGACATTCGGGAGAAGGTCTTGCCACAGCCCTTGCACGGGTACTTCTTGGTGCCTGAGTGAGTCTGCTGGTGCGCCCGGAGGTTGGAGCGGTCAGCAAAGGCTCTGCTGCAGTGGGCGCAGGCATAGGGCTTCTCACCTGTGGGGAAGAAGGTGGGGCCAGGTGAGTGGCACAGCCAGGGCAGGCACACAGGGTCGTGGTGGCCTGCTTCTCCCTCCGACTGCTGTGAGCACCCACGGTCATGGCTGCTTGTGACACACAGAACGTCACGCAGGCCAGACCCGGCATGGTAGGCCCTGCCTGAGGGCTAAGGCGGCTGCTGGCTCTCGGGCCTCCTTGGAGCCCAGCCGGATCCCAGCCACGCGGTCCTGTGTGAGAGGCTCCAGGAGCCTCTGGCTGCTCCTCCAGGCTGCTGGCCAGCAGGAGAGGAGCCACAGGGCTGCAATCAGGGCCACCAGGGGCTGGGGCAGGGCCTGCTGTTGGGATCCTGGCCCCAGGATGGCCCTGGCCAGCTGGAGGGAGGGGCCCTGAGATGCCACCGTCCAGTCCTGCAGCACTATAGTCCCAAGATGCTAGCTGGTGTCCCCATGGGGCCCTGCCGGCTGGGCAGGCTGGCTGTGTGTCCCCAAGTCCTGAGACTCTGCCCCTCATTTTCCTGATGGCACCTTCCTCTCCTTCCTACCGTCCCAGCCTCAAGATCCCGCAGAGTGGGCAGACGATGTCCCCCAAGGGCCTGCACTCCAAGCTTTGCCCAGTCTGGGATACCGTCCACACCCTGCTCCTGCGTCCGTGGCTTTGTTTAGAAATAGGGTTTCTGCAAATATAACTAAGATGGGGCTGCTGGGGAGCCTTCACCCCACATGACTGCTGTCGGCGGTGTCACAGCAGAGGGACATATGAGCACAGACACGCGTGGGGCGCAGGCCCTGTGAGGACAAGCAGAGGCAGAGGGATGCGGCCGTGGCTGAGGACTGGGCCGGGTGCCAGGGCAGAGGCAGCGTGACCCTGCTGACCCTGAGGGCTCAGGCAGGACCATAGAGGGTGCCAGTCTGGCCACGTGCTTCAGTGTGCAGCTTGGGTGTGTATGGGGAACATCGAGACCCTGTCCTCCCGGCCCTCGCCCTCCCGCCCCACCTGTGTGGGTCCGGATGTGGCCTTGCAGCAGCCAGGGCCTGGAGAAGGCCTTGCCACACACGCCGCACACACAGGGCAGCGTGTGGGTGCGGATGTGCATCTTGAGGGCGCCCAGGCTGCCATACTCCTTGTCACAGTGCTTGCAGGTAAAGATGCGCCCGGCCTGCAGGTGGCACTGCAGCTGCTGGTGCCTGGCCAGCCCCGCCGGCGTGTGGTAGGCCTTGTGGCAGTGCATGCACTCAAAGCTGCCTGGGGCTGGAGGGGCCCCCATGGCCCCAAGCAGTTTGTCTGGAGCCCCATATGCATGGGGGTGCAGGATCGGGGGCCAGCGTGTGGGCAGGAGCAGCAGTGGGGGCAGGTTGAGGTGGTTCAGGCTGTCTCTGAGCGGGGAGCTGGGGACCTGGCCGGCCCAAGGGCCCCCCAGGCCAATCTCCGGGGTGTCTGGCCTAGGGAACCCCAGAGCTTCCTCGTGACACGGCAGGAGGGGCAGGGAGACACAGGTGATGGCCGAGGTGCAGTCCCAGGGCCGGGCCAGGCGGCCAGGCACAGAAGGGGCCTCCTTCTTGTCGGAGCAGGTGCCATTGTCTCCTGGGGGGACAGGGAGAGAACAGAAAGGTGAGGACAGCCAGGCCCTGCCTGCTTTTAGACCTGCTCACCCACACCCACACAGCCACGGCTGGACCGTGAGAAGTGCCAGGGTCCAGACCTGTGACCACTACAGCCAAGAATCACACAGCATGTGACCACTACAGCCAAGAATCAGGATATGCACCAGGTGGACAGTGAATCCCAGCTCCGTGTTTTTTGTTTTGTTTTGTTTTTTTGTCTTCTTGAGACAGGGTCTCGCTCTGCAGTTCAGGGTGGCCTTGAGCTCACTTTGTAGCCCAGGCTGGTCTGGAACTCGCAATGATCCTCCTGCCTCAGCCTCCCAAGTGCTGAGATTCCAGGCATGCACCACCACGCCCGGCTAGCTCTGTGTTAAAAATAACAGAAAAGCAACTCTTGTGCCGGGCAGGGTGGAGCACACCTGTAATTCCAGCCCTCAGGAGGCTGAGCCAGAAGGATCACGGTGAATTCCAGGACAGCCTGGATCACAGAGATTCTGTCTTAAAAAAGAAAGAAAGAAAGAAAGAAAAAAGAAAAGAGGAAAAAAGAAAACCAAAACATCTTCCAGGACGCCAGTGCCTAGCAGCGTGAGGCAGTTCTCACAGAGCAGCTCTGTGTCCTCCAGGGAGCCACATCCCAGCCCAGGCTGTAGGCAGCAGCCCAGCCAGCAGCATGAGGTCAGAACCCTGGGCAGGAGGCACCGGGGTCAGAGCAGCAGTCCACCCCCACGGTCATTAGCCTCCAGTCACCCCGTCGTCACCCCATGGCGTCTCCCCATGTGTATCACTGTGCGGTCAGCACCTCTGCAGCCACTGGTAGCAGCTTGCAGCTCTGGAACATGCGGGGACATGCTCAGCAGGCGGGGGGCTGGGCTCTCGGGCTCCCTCCTTCTGGGCCACTGGTGCCCCCAGCGCCCCCGGCACCAGCCCACTGCTGCTCCCAGGAGCTGTGACCCCTGCCTTCGAAGGCCAGAGCACATGTGCTGGGCACAGAACAGCAGCAGCCCCAAGCAAAGAGGTCAGTCTACAGGAAAGAGGTCAATTCTGGACCCCCAGAGCCCTAACCTCCAAACAGCCCTTGACCTGTGCAGTCTTTCACGGCATGGGGATAAATCTGTGGCCCTGTTAACCTCCCTCCTGGGGCTTTGCGAAGAGACAGACACAGAGTGGGCAAAAATACAGTACCGTAAGTCGGGTATTTTATCAGGAACTAGTATCTATAATATATAAAGAATGTTTGCCGGGCTGGGGATTTAGCTCAGCGGCAAAAGCGCCTGCCTGGCAAGTGCAAGGTCGTGAGTTCGGTTCCCAGTACCGGACAAAAAAAAAAAAAAAACAAATGAAAAAAAAAAAAAAGAATGTTTGCCACTCAACAACAAAAAGACAAATAATGCACTTCACAAAAGGAAAAGAGAGGATCATAGCCACTTCTCCACAGAGCATGCCCAAACGGCCAATGAGCACAATTAGTCATCAGACCATGGTGAGCCCACTTCACATCCTCCTGGGTGGCGAGGAGTTAAGGAAAAGTAGGTGCTGGAGACAGTGGGGAGCAATAGGAAAGGTTTCCTGTCCAACGTCCCTGATTATAAAATCGGCACGTCAGGTTTCTGTCCCCCCAGAAGGGAGGGGGTGACAGGCAAGAGACACAACCCAAGGGGTCCTGGAGAAACTGCCTCCCCCATTCACAGACCAGGACACTTCACTCTGATTCCTAGCCCCGGCCCCTCCCTAGCCCGAGGCAGCGCCAGAGTCAAACTCCACCTGCAGCCCTGAGGCCACCCAAGAGGCCCCGGCAGGAAAGAAGCTCTACACCAGGATGCGAGTGACTGCAACTCGGCTTTTTTTTTTTTTTTTTTTTTCAGCTCTGGGGATAGAACTTGGGGCACTCTCTGAACTACAAAATTTTGAGACAATCCTTGTAAAGTTGCCCAGAATGGCCTCAAATTTGCAGTCCTCCTGCCTCAGCCTCCTGAGTCACTGGGATTCGAGTGCGTGCCCCTGTGCCTTCCCACATTCTCTTGCTTTTGCTCATCCTGCAGTCGCGTAGGGAAGAAGCCTTCTGAGCTCACTTCTGCTTCGGGGTTCTTGGAGCCCTAACCAAAGGTGGGCGGGGCCCAAACCTCAGGACCTCAGGTCTGCTCTAGGGTGACACCCTAGCTCTGAGCAGGGCACATTTTGGGCACTGTCACCCAGGGCTGGGGTTGGAGGTGTGGCTCAGCTCACTGGTGAGTGCTTCCCAGCAGGTTCCATTCCCAGCACCTCAAAGAACAAAACCAAACCACAAAACCCCCCTAAACTATGATCCATGTAAACTCGATTTTACATTATATCTAAATCTGTGTTCACATATGTAATTGAAACAAAAGTTTCCTTTACTGTGAACACTCAGCCCAACAGTTTCTGGTCTATTTTATTTTACACAAGTGGGGACAGTAACTCTTTAAACTAATTTCAGAATGCACCTTTGAGAAGAGGGGGCCCAGACAGCACCCCGGGTGGCACCCTGGGCTGAGAGTGACGGGGGGCTCCCACTCCCTGGGAGACCTGGGCAGGACTCTCTGGTAGGGGCCCTGCCCTCCCCAGTGGCCCCAGGCACTGAGCAATGGGGGGACGGGGTCTTCCTCCCAAGGAGCTGCTCCACTGGGTGCAGGTCTGAGCCAGCTGGGGGCAGAGCTGGGGCGCTGAGCTAGTGGGGGCTGCTCTGCCAGCTAAGCAGTAGGCTCCCCTGGAGCAGAGTACCCCTCGCCTGTCCCAGGTCACAGACCTGGAGGGGGATGGAAAGTGGGGACCCTGTGCTGTCCAGGGGAGGACTGTGGGCCTAGCCTCGCTGTCACAGGATGGCCAGTAGGCTTCTGGGGTAAGGGCAGGTCTTGGGGAGGCCACAGGAGAGGCTCAGTAGGACAGGTACCTGTGGGAGTGCGGGGGTCCCTCGTCTCCTTGTTCCCTGCGCCCACCTCCTCCCCGCCAGGATGCTCTGGGGAGCCTACCCAGCCCCAGCCCCAGCCTCTCACCAGCTCCGGGCAGGTTTCAGGACTTTAGGGGTCCCCTGGGGCTCTCTTTGAGTGGGTGACAAGCCAGAGCCTGGCCGGCCGTCTGCACCCTCGCAACTTCCTGCCCAGAGACACACAGGGTCCGGGGCTGGGTCTGCAGTGGTGGGTGGGCGGGGGGCCTACGAGGTGGCTCCCTCACCTGGCGCAGGTGCGCTCCCCCCAGGACCCCCGCTGGCCCCAGCCCTTACCTCTGCGCGTCTCCAGCCGCCCGTAGTCGGGGGCCCGGTGTCCGGGCTGCGTCTTCACCAGAAAGGAGCGCGGCATGGTGCGGGCGGCGGGCGCGGCAGACTGGGCGCCGGGGCCGGCAGGCAGGTGCGGGGAGGTCGGTTCATTAGCATAGCGCGCCGCCTCGGCCAACCAGCGGCCGGGGAGGTGGGGCGGGGCCGCGGGGCCACGCCCAGGACAGGTGCGCGGGCGGGGCCGGGCTCCGGGGACTCGCGGTAGGAGTGCGCCCAGTGCCTCCAGAAGCTCGCCTGCTTGGGACAAAGCACAGGGCCCGGGACTCTGGACCCTCTGTGGTCACAGAAGTGTAGCGGAGGGTGATGCTGTGCTCGGCCCCGGGGCACCCTGGTCTGGACAAGCTTCCCCTCCTCTGCGCCCCTTGTAGTCCGCAGTCCCTTCCTTGCTGTCCGGATCCCTGTCCACGTGGGCGTGTCACGACTTGGGCGGCCTGACGGGCAGGCTCTGGGTGGGTGGACGCTGCACCCCAGGCCCCCGGAAGCCGCAGGCAGGCCCACGTCTTGGGCGATGCTCTGGCCCTGCAGCCTGGTGCTCGCTGGCCTCCTGGGCTGGGAGTGGAGGCGGAGGTGAGCTGCAGGTGCCAGGACAGAGGGAGGAGGAGTGGCACACAGGTGTGCGCGGTCCTATGATGGCAGTGGCTCTCAGGACGGTGCCCGGTGCTGCCCATTCACCTGCCCGTTGGCCTCGCCAGATTTCTATTTGTGGTCTTTGGCACACAGAACATCGAGGATACATTTGCCATCCTTCCTCTGCACTGTCCTACTGCCCACCAGGTAGCCCTGCAAGTGAATGCGCTACTCCTCAGCCAGCTGCTCTGTTAGGGGGTGCCGAGCATGCTGGTGGCACCTGCCAGCCCCCCTGGGAGTGCCCTGGGACCGACAGCCCACAACTTGGGCCCAGGAGGGAAGCCTGCGCTCCCTGAGACTCCCGAGGGGCCCTCCTGGTGGCCATGGAGCCTCATTCTTCAGCTGTGACGCAGCGTCCAGCTGGACCCTGCAGGGCATCTGCCCTGTCCCCACATGTGGCTCCAGGCAGGAACGGCAGATGTCTCCATCACTGGGACTTCTTTTGTCCCATACCAGCCCTCTGCCCCGGAGGCTAATCCTGCATGCCTCGACACAGAACCCTTCCCACCAGCCTCAACCGGTGGACCCTGCTGGGGCCTCCTTCCCTGGACACCTGAGACCTTGGGATGGTGGCCCCCGTGGCCAGGCAGCCCCTCCTTCCACAGCCTTCCAGGCTCCTCCATTAGACACCCAAAGAAGGCTTTTCAAGCCGGGTCCCCATCCCTGGGGCTGCAGGTCAGGTTAGGGGATCAGATTATTAATTTCATTCATCTGATATTTTTTCATCATTTTTTTTGTCCTGGAAATTGAACCTACAGCCACTATAGGCAAAGATCTCTGCTTCTGAGGCACATCTCAGCTCTTTTTATTTTTATTTTGAGGCAGGGTCTTGTTAAATTGTCTGGTTGGGTTTGAACTTGCGATTCTTCTGTCTCAGCCTACCACGTATCTGGGGTTACAGGTGTGCACGACCATGAGTGGTATTTCATCCTCTCAGTGGGCTCGGGCTTGTGATCCTCCTGTCTCCGCCCCCCACAGTGCTGGGATTATTGGTGTGCCCCGCCACTCTCGGCTTCCTTTGAATTTTTTTGGTATGTTTTGGAGCAGATACAACAGTGTGTGGATGCACACTGCATACATGTGTATACGCGCACGTACGCACCTCCATCCCTGTCGCATGCCTGCCTTTCTACCAGTAGGGTTTCATAACCCAGACCCGGGAAGTCCCCACACCTGTCAGATGCAGCCCCTGAGCAGTGGCCCAGGCGAGCTCACTTGTGCAGGACACCCATGGTGGCCAGGACCGCAGCCGCATTCGCAAAGCTTGCTGAACCGTGCAGAGAGGAATCAGGGCCCCAGACAGCTTGGCCTTTCCGGAGCGCCTGCCTTGCACCCAGCAACACTGGAGCAAGACCATGCTCCTGTACAAGCTCGAGTGAAGATTTGAGAGCCCTAGCTGAGCCTGGGAGCTGGGGTGGGCCTCCTCCCTGGGGCAGAACTGGCCTGTGGGGGCGCAGCACAGAGGGCAGAATGGCTGGACACCCCTGGCCTTGGGCAGCCCCACCGCCCAGGCCCCTGACATCCAGTGAGTCTGGTCACCAGCATGTCCTTGGTCACACTCAGTGACTGGGAAATCCCTGCCACTTGTAGTGGTGGTGCACACCATTTGGGACCTGCTGGAGGTGAGCATGGGTCCTATCACATAGGTCATGAGCGGGGCCGTGGCCCCTTCACCCAGAGACTGCCGCACAGGAAACAGCCGGAGAGCACCCTTCAGCCATGCCTAGGAAGCAACAGCAGGGGCAGGAGGGAGGCAGCACACACGTGTGTTTACACATGCGTCAGTGTGCCAGCTTGTGTGATGTTGGCAGAGCTGGCCTCTGGGACTCGAAGAAGGGAGCTGGAGGGTGCAGGGGCAGCTGGGGGCCCACAGACCTAGGCAGTGCCCTCCAGCAGCACTGGAGGCTGGCCTGAGGCCAGCAGGGCAGGGACCCACCTCCCTCCCTAACAGGAACAGGGCGCCCCAGGGCAGGCCTGGGGCCTCTGCCTAACTGGACTCCAGGAAGCAGGTGGAATAGTTTCTGCAGGGCGGGAGGGGGAGGAAAGCTCGGGAATGGCCTCTCTCTCAGACCCTCAGGCCTGGGAAGCGGGGAGTCATTCTGTCCCATCTGGACCCTCCTCCTGGGTTTTCCTCCAAGTACAGAGCCAGAAGAGCCTGCCCGTCCTTGAGAGTGCGCAGTACTAAATCCAGAAACGGGGAAAGGGAGGGTGGGGTGTGCGCAGAACTCCCTGGGTGGGTGTAAGGCTCCTCCCCAACTGGCCTGGGCAGGTGTCCTGTTCAGCCTGGTGGTGACAGTGTGCGGGCCAGCAGGAGGGAGGGCTCACCCTGGGTCCAGGGGTATTTAGCTGGCAGATCCCAGCTCCCCCGAATGGAAGCTGCCTGGCAGTTTTTCCCACCTCCTCAGAGGGTGGACTGAGCCTCACTGGCCTTTGTCCCCCTTGTGGCTGGACTAGAGAAGCACCAGCCACTAGGTGAGTGAAGGGAAGACCTTTCAGGAAATGGGGTGCAAGCGTCCAGGCTTGCCTCACCTAAAATGAAGGGTGTGTGGCTGCCAAGTGGGGCCTCTGCCGCCCCAGACCCCATAGGGCTTGGCAGCCTGGCCCTGGCGGGTGATGCCCTGCAGGCTTCCTACAGCACAGTGCCTGTCCCCAGCTCAGGGTGGGGACCTGGCTTGGGGGCTCCCAGCTGGAGAGGGCAGCTGAGTCTGGGCAGCTCCACACCCTTGTACACACACCCCACCAAGCACAGGGACCACCCAGCTCCCGCCACTGTGCTGATCTGCTGGTGGCTGAGGGTGCTGTCGTACCCTCCCCGAAACAACCCACAGTGACACCTGGGTAGGACCTTGTCCTGTGGCACTGCCCCGCTGTGCTATGGCTTTCTGACTCAGGTTCTGGCAGCACTCTGTGGATACACAGGGACTGTCAGCTGCCTGGCCCAGGGTTCCCTCACCCTATCTGGCATGTGCTGGGATCAGGTGGCTGAGGAGCCACCTCCTTGGGGTTTGCTTTGATGTCCCCCAGTGCCTCCTGGACATGGAGTCTCCAGGGGGCGCCGGGCCAGCGTGGGGTGGGACCAAGGTTGCGCCTTCCACCAGATGTTGCTCATGACCTTGCTGAGGGAGTCTGGGTAACTGACCTGCCCGCTTGGGAAACAAGGTTGGGGTGTGTGTGACGGGCTTCCTGCGGATGGGACAGTTGGGGTTTAGGAACCAAGAGCTGTGAAGATTGCTTCTGCTGCTGCCCTGTAACCCTGTTTGCCCCTCTGATGCTGGGTTTCGCTCCTCTCTCCTTTCCTTTTCTCCTGTCCTGCGGATTCAACCTTGGGAACACTGAGCTACGTCCTCTGCCTTTTTAAATTTGAGACAGGGTCTCACTGAGTCACCAAGTTGCCCAGGCTGGGCTCAAACTTGTGTTCCTCTCCCCATTACCTTAGAGCCCTGAGGACCACAAAAGGGAGTATGGGAAGCAGGACCCGAAGGACAGAAGCACAGCCGGGCGTTGTAGTCTTAGGAATGCCCACCCGGTTGTTTCTGTCAACATCACAGTATCAGTGGCTCCACCCGGGGGTGTTTCCCTTCTCTGCTCCTCTCGGCCTGCTGTATGCCCTGCAGCTCTCCCCGCAGCAGCAGGGACAGGACCTGCTGGCCCCCTGCCCCAGGCTCCCAGGCCTGCAGCAGTGACGCTGACGTGGCAGGTGCTGTGACCTTTGCAGGTGAGACAGAGAAACCCAGGAGTGTTTCCCAGAGGGCGGGTGGGCGGGAGGCCGGCGGACAGTGCTGTCGGGGTCAGGACCTGCTGGAGCAGGTCCCAGGCTGCTGCCAGGTCTTCCTGCACACGGCGGTCAGGACCCATGACAGCAGCCTGTGTCACCAGTGGCCAGTTGTGGGGCAGGCCTGGGCTTGCAGAGCAGCCCCTCGGTTCCTACCCAGCAGGGGGCAGCTGCCCAAGGGTGACAGGCCTGGCCAGTGGCCAGTTTTGCAGGTTCCCAGAACCAGCAGGGCCTCCCAGATGCAGGAACCATACAAATGGGGTCCAGGAGCACCTGGAGGGGACCCTGGTGGTCTCCACAAAGGCACCTAGAAGTGGCTTTGCTTCTTAGGTATGTGGCAACGCGGTCACACCTGCTACCGTCTATGGGGCCTGGCTTGCCAGCTCTCGACACTCTCCACATCCCACACCACTTCCCCTGGAACTGTCCAGGACAGAGTGGCTGGGGAAGCAGACTGGGGAGTGGCTGCCACGGCCGCTGGCAGGCGACTCTCATGGGCTCCGAGTCTCAGTGAGCCACAGGGCAAGGCACCTGTACCCAGAGCCCTGGCCCAGTGCAGACTGAACAAATGAGGAGTAGCAGGCTCAACGCCTGCCTCGGTGGCTCTGCGTGGCCCACAGAGGCCCAGGGACACCAGGCCTAGGGCAGGGGTGGCTGCAGACCTGGACAGGTGCGGAGGCAGGCCCGCCCTCCCAGCAGTGCTTCCCGGCCGACAGCGAAGGGCAGAGCCCACCAAAAGGCTGCTGCAGGTACTTGGAATTGTTTTATTGAAAATTCTTTGAAAAGACAGCAATAATTTATGCCATGAACAGAACAGGAGCACTGATGAGTGTTTTCTGGCCTGACCACCACCAAACAGGCCCCTGCCTGCACCCCCAGAGCTCTGCTCTGGGTGAGATGGCAGCCACCAAGGTGAGGACCAGCTAGGAGGAGGCCACTGCCATGGCCAGATGCTGGGACCCCTTCCTGGCTGTCACCAAAGAGAAGCCACAAACAAGATCCTCATAAGAGTGGTGACAGTGACTGGGATGCCACCTCCTGGGGCACCAGGCCCAGGTGAGACCCCAGCTTGTCTGGCTCCAGCTGTGTCCAGCCACTCATGCCCTCTGGTCCCACACAAGGTTTATTTTTGAATTTTTTTTTCTAAAAAATATAACTTTGTAAATGTTCCATAAAAATACTATTCTTCCTAGTCAAACACAGATATTGCAATATGAAGTGTAACTGCTTTGTCTTTGCTCTATAAAACGTGAAAAGGTTACCACATGGGATAAGATAGAAAAACGCGAGGGTTTCTAAGTATCACAAAAGCCAGTACCAAATGCGCACGGTGGAAGCATAGCCGGGTGCCGGGTTGGGCTGGCAGGGGCGCCGGGCTGCTCCTCCACTCTCCTGCTGGAGTTCAGCTGGGCACCCCAGCCCTCACGCAAGGACAATGTCATGGCTTGGAAGAGGCAGCCGACTGCTCTGAGTCCTGCTGGCCGGCACCTGCCCCACAAAGCACCGATGACCCAGGGATGCGGGCCAGGACCAGGTGGTCGCTGACAGCTGAGGGACAGCCGGGTGGCGTCCCAGCCCGCAAGCTCTTGGTCCTTGGGCCAAGAGCAGCTCCGCTGGCCCAGGCTTGGGCGTGGCCACTGTGCCTTCAGTTCTCAGAAAGAGACAGGGCCAGGGCAGCCTGGAAGGCAGCTTCTTCATCGATGCTGTAGTCCTGGAACAGAATAGAGATGCACTGTGCAGCAGCAGCCTTGTACACACCTCTTTCGCCTCCACACGGCTGCTCCAGGGCGCCCACTGCCCTCGCACCAGTTGACCCTTGGCCTGCCCCGGGGCGGCCGACCTAGCAGTCTACAGCCACTGAGGGGCCCAGCTTTGAGTGAGAGGGGCATGGGGACAGAGCTGTCCACTTGACGCAGAACATAAACAATGGGTCCCTGAGACCTCCAACCCCTAGGGAGTGGGGAGAAGCGAAGTCCTGGGCCAAACCAGGAAGGAGGAACAGGAGTGAGGGGCCCAGGCCTGGGATCTACACGCTTTCTGATCACACGGGTGGGGGGATGGGGAGTCCCTCCAGCTTCCAGAGGCGCTAGAAGGAATCTCAAGCACCCAAGATTGTGCGTGGGGGAGGGCAGGGCCTCCACCTCATCCCTGGCAGCTGTGGCAGGGACGAGGAGCTTGTTTCTGGCCTTCCCCGAGCACTTGGGCAGCCAGGAGGGGCACCCTGCAGGCGGGAGGGAAGGGCACCCACCACAAAGGTGTCGTAGGAGAACTTGTGCCGGTGCAGCAGGTGCTGCAGGAAGTTGGCGCTCTTGTAGCTGGGGTCGCCCCAGGGCATAGCTGAGCAGATGGGGCACACCTAGGAAAGAGGGTCAGTGGGCACCGGGCAGGGCATGGGCTGCGGGCCTCCCCACCTGGGACACAGCCGCAGGACTGCAGGTCACTGCTGCACTCACGCATTCAGGACCCCAGGACTGAGATGTGTGCGGAGCTTCGACCAGGCGCCGCTCAGCACTAGGCACACCTGGGGTGGAGGGAGGCCTGAGGCAGGCAGCTCTCCCCATGCAGCTGGGGTTCTGTGGGGACTCACCACACGGTTTGGGTCACTGCGGTGGCTCTCCACACAGTGCTTCACTAGCTCCTGCTGGTCCAGGTTGCGGGCGCCACAGTAGGGGCAGGCAAAGGTGGACCTGTTGGGGATGTTGCTGGGGGGGAGTGGGGTGAGGCTGGGGGCTGGGGGCACTGCCACTGCCACCCCACTTCACCAACAGCAGCATGGCCCCAGCCCGCCCTGCGCTCCCTCTGCGAGCTCCTGACAGGACGAGACCCTGGGTGGTGGGAGCATCTCGGCTGGCAGGTGGGAAGGGTGGGGCTGGCTCTGGAGACCAGCCTGGCACTAGACCTCAGCCTCTGCTCCTGTGGAAGGGCCAAGAGCAGCGCCACACCAGGCACCAGGGTCTTTTCCTTTATAGGAATCACAGCCAAGCTGGGGGAGGGGAGAGCGCTGCCCCTAGCCCGGAGGCACCATTGCGGCTGCCCACCCGCCTGGCCAGGGCCCTCATCTTGGCTCCCATGCCTCAGGTATCCCTTTTCACATGGCCCGGCTTCCCCAGAGCCACCTGGATGCCCACATTCCCCACCTGCTTACAGACCCACAGGAGGCTGCCCACCTTGGGATGGGCTGGGATGTGGGCACCACAGGGACAAACTTGGGGCAGTTGGCCATCTGCTCCTGGACCTTCAGGCAGGAGGACACGTGCACTCTCATCTTCGCCAGGGTCACCTAAGCGACAGGGTAGGAGGGAGGCAGTCCTGAACGGAGACCATCTGCAGCAGTCACCTACCACAGGGCTACCTCTGCTGCCCAAGAAATCCAAAGGCCCAGAGTAGCAGCTGTGCCTGGCGCCCCTGGAAAGGGCTGAGGGCTCAGGTGCCCAAACCCCTGAGTTTGCTGCATAGAGAAACACTCTGGACAGGAGCCAGCACCCCCTCTGTGGGGTGCCTCACAGAAAAGCAAACCAGAAGCTGCACTCCTTGAAGAAAATGAACTGCACTTAGTAGGCGGGGGAACCCATCTACCGGCAACTGGTGGAAAAACTCTTGATGAACACCTCCCGTGGCATAAACACAGCCTGCACAAACTGCCCAACCTGGGTGTCCAGAGTAACAGGCCTCAGCACCAGCCCAAAGTCAGTGTCAGGGTCCTGCGGGCACAGGGTCAGGGGCAGGGCCACTCCACCTGAGGAATCTGGAGGTTCCCGTGTTTGTCTTCCCAGAGAGTTCTGACTAGTGAAGCCTGGGGTGCCTACCACCCTGGATGGACTCAGGGCAGCCCTCACACATGTGCACCTTGACCTTGGGGTGGGGCAATGAGGGGCTGTGTCCTACTGTGCAGGTCAGCAGGGTTTAGAACCTGAGGGGTGGCCACATCTAAAACACAAATTCTAAGTATGCTTCCAGCTGCCTGGTCAGGCCCCACATTGGGGTCTCTACCTTGCAGTGTGTGGTGTGGGCACCAGAGAGGGTGTGAGGGTGGGAACTCTGTGGTCTCTGACCAAGGCAGCGCCCTTTTCGCTTTGGCTGGGAGGGTGATGAGCTGGCATGAAGTGCTTGGCACTTCCTGGGGCCCCCTCCACTGAGAGCCCCATAGCTGGTGGCAACCTGAGCACCCAGCCCACCTCTTTGGGTTCTGTGCAGCCTAGGCCAGCACTGTTCCCCTGGAAAAGGACAGAGGGTGAGAGGGCAGGGCATGGACTTCCTCACACCAGAGCAGCTGCACTGCTTAACAGAAAGGGGCACAGTCCATGGACCTGGTCTTCTGTGGGATGGGGCCTCTGCCCACCCAGAGGGCCAAGTGGCCAGTACCTTCTTGTTGCAGCCCCGGCAGGGTGCCTTGTAGGATGACAGCTGCTTCTCCACATGGGAGGCCTTGTCCACTTTCTTGGGGTCAAAGGGCAGGCGGCAGAGTGGGCACAGAGGAGACGGCACCTGCAGGCATGGCTGGAGACACTCCCCACAGAACCTGCAGGGGACATGGGCCTGAGGAGTGGCACTGGTAGGGCCATTCCTCCCACATCTCTGTACCCGAACCCACCAGCCGGATAAACCAGAAGGGAGTCCCCCCCGGGAAAGGGCCCACTACGTCCTGGATGCCAGCCACAGTTGCAGCTTATGCTCTCCCACGTCGGTTGGCCCTGCAGCCCACAGCCCAGACAGTGTCCACGTGGCTTCTCCTCACTAGTGCAGGCAGCACTTTCAGGGCATGACAGCCGGGGCACAGGCAGGAAGACCACCAGCAGGTGTAGGCAAAGAATGCTGGGCCCGGATCACATAGCAGGGGCGATGGCTGCCTGGTTGGTCAGCTGGGGGCAGCTCACGGGTGGGAGGCGCTCTGGCACATCCGAGCCAAGGCTCAGTGATGAAGGGCTGTGCTCGAGCCACCTCAGGTCCTGGCACAACTGGGGCTGAGGCTCCAGCAGGCTTTGTACTTCTGGCATCACTGCTCGAGACCATGTGGTAGGCCTGTGCCACACAGCCCACACAGACATGGACTGGCAGCAGGAGCCAGGCCCTGCCTGCCCACACCTCCCAATGCTCTGCTGACCCAGGGCAGCAGAGGGAGCCCAGGGAGAAGAGCAGCGGATCCCAGGGCGAGCTCGGTGCAGCTGCACAGGAAGTGCCATGTGGACAGCGCAGCCCAGAAGGTGCCTGAACACAGGGACACTGAAACAACACCCTGGCCCCCGGACAGCACCTGGCTGGAGCAGGGAGCCGCCCAGCTCAGCAGAGAGGACAACCTTGTCAGTGGTGGCACAGAGGGGAAAGCCAAGGGCCTGTGGGATGTGGACAGGAGCCTTGCTGGATGGAGGGGATATGAGACCAGGCCTGCGTCCACAGAAGACACAGCTACAGCCTGGGGTCAGAGCTCCCTCTACATTTATTTATTTGTTTTTTCTTTTTGAGACAGTGTCTTGCTATGCAGTTCAGGTTGGCCTTGAGCTCACTTTGGAGCCCAGGCTGGTCTCGAACTCACAAGGATCCTCCTGCCTCAGCCTCCTGAGAGCTGGGATTACAGGCGTGCGCCACCACGCCCGGCCACTTTTATTTATTTATTTGTTTTTTGTCTTTTTGAGCTCCCTCTACATTGAGAGACCTCATCTCTTTAAGAAAAAGTCCTTCCTGTGATGAGGAAGGCAGGCCCAGGGCTTCAGGCAAAGCTAAGGCTATCTTAGGCCCCTGCTCTTCCCAAATGCTGGCCCCTGGCGGGGACCCCAGGCTTGTCAACTGCCTGTCACCTGGCCAGTCCTACTGCACTGGTTGCCTCTGAAAGACCAGCAAAGTTTCCAGGAGCTGTTCCTGCACAGTAGTGCGAGCCAGAGGGGTCTCCCTAGGCATCCACACAGCGCCCCCCAGCGCCCTAGGAATATTCAAGGATGTCCCCGTCACTAGCCCAGGATCTGGTTAGCCTAAGGAGCCCTTCTTCCACCCAGGAACCACAGGAAGGCGCTGGTGAGATGATCCACATAGCGAGCCACAGGAAAGCCACTGTGTGTCCACACAACCAAAACGTAGCAACAACCCAGAGGTCTGCTTTGGCCACAAGAAGGAGCGAAGTGCTGCTGCACACTACACACAGACAAGCCTTGCAAATGCGCTGTGAGTACAGGCGGCCACAGGAAGCCACACACTGTAAAACACCATGAACACAAGATGCCCAGCAAGGACACAGCCATGGAGGCCGAAGCAGAACAGGGGCTTCCGAGGGCTGGAGGAGAGGAAGGGGGACTGGCTTCTCTTTTGGGGTGAATATCCTAAATCACGGGGACGGCTCAGTAACTGTGTGAACGCCCCAGGAACCACTGGATTCCACACTGTAAACAAGCAAATAGTGAGGCCCTGAGTTCTAGCTCAGGGAAGCTGTCAAAAGCAAGACAGAAGGTGCAGGCATGTGAGCTTGCTCAGGCCACAGTGGGGCCACTCCACTCAGCAGAAGGAAAAGGGTGCTTTGCAAAGCAGGGAAGGACAGGGCTCTGAAGAGGAATGGATGGAGGTCAGGTGCCTGGCACTGCCCGCATGATGCAGGGGCAGTGCAAGAACCCGCTCGCCCACAAGATGACTGTCCCCAAGTCTCAACCCTTAAGGAGCAGTCCAGAAGGCAGCATCTACGTGGTGGGTGCAGCTTTCAGCCTACTTTCACCTCCACCGCCCTGTGTGCCGGCAGCGGCGGCAGCAGTAGGGCTAGCCTCTCCCATAGGAAGTTCCTGCCTGTGTCTGCACAGCGCTGGTGCTAAGCAGCTTCTCTGCCAAATGAGGTAGTTCAGGATGCTGGGTACGGGGCCGGCCCTTCTCCCAGAAATTTGGGGCATCAAGGATGGCCCACAGGCCTGAGAGCACCATTAGTGTGTCTCTCCTGCTTAGGGCTCTCACACACATCAGGAAGCTATGAGAGGCCTACGTTTCAGAGATTGCCAAGGCCAGCAGGCAGGTCCCATCAGGCAGGACATGCAGCTATCTTTCTCTGCCTGTGCCAGAGCAGCAACACCTGTCCCACATGGGGCTGCCCACACCACAAGAAAACCAGTTCAGGAAGGAAAATGCTCTGGTCAGGTACCTCATGGAGGAAAAGAGTCAGACTGTGAGTGAACACTGCAAAGGTGATGTGAGAGGCTCTGAGCTTCCTGTGCTCATCTGCTCACGTGCCTAAGCGATGCAGACTGTGCAAAGTCAGAAGTGGCAGTGAACAGCCAGGAAGACAAAGCCAGCAGAAAAAACCAGATCTTTTCAAGGCAGAGGCTATGAGAAGAGCTTAGGAAAAGGTGTTTTTCAGTCCGAGTCTTCTGTGCTGCAACATGGACCACATGTGAAGAAACAGCATTTGGGGGGAAAAAAGAAGGAGCAAATTCTGGTTTGTGCAGACTAAGACATCAAAACTGCTGTGGCCTGCTGTGATGACCAAGGGGTTACCAGGCAAAGGCAGCGGAAGACTTTCTAAATTGAGGCCCAGACAAAGCTCACAGCAGCTGGAAAACGCAGAACACACCTTAAGACACCCACTCGTGTGCGCCCACAGAAGTCAGTCCTGGTCAAGGGCTGCCCTGCCAAAACGTGACACAGTGAGACTGAGTGGGAGCATCGCCCTCACAAGTGCAGCAGAGCTCGTGGGGTGAGCAAGCACCCGCGCTGCCTGACACGGGGGGCAGAGAAAGCATCGGCAGCTCTGGATCCTGCCACCCTCCCTGCCAGGCCTGGGAGGAGGCATGACTGGCAGGCACACGCCCACTGGCAGTGCGGGTTCCCTTCGCATGAGGAGCCTCCGAAGTCTGCTGCTTTTGTTTGCAAAACGTTCTAGAGCCTCCCACCAGCCTGGGTGCACCTTGCCCAACCTCCACGCCCAGTGACGGCCCACCTCCTCGGCAGCAGGGCCATCTGCTGGGAAGCCCTCCTCTCGCTCTTCCTGCCTCGCCAGTCCCGCTCCAGAGCTGGATTGTGCGGCACTCAGGAGGGGTCTGGAGCAGACGCTGACCCTGGCTCCCTCCCACCTAGGCTGGAGCTCCGGAGGACTTGCGCGCAGCTGCCCACGGGGAGAACCACATCCTTAAGTTTCTGTTCCTGAAACAGCTCGGCCACAAAGCCTCGCTAGAGAGCGTGCGTGGCGTCTAGTCCCGTCTGGGCTCAGAGTGACTCAAACGCTCCTTCAAAACAAAACAGCACGGGGCTCCAAACACGCCCCTCTCCTAACTTTAAGGAACTGCTTTCCTGCGTACTCAGAACGACCAGACCGCGGGGTGAGGAAGAGTGAATAGCAAAACCCCCAAGTCACTTATTTACAACTGCCCCCCGAAGGTCCACACGCCCAGACCCCGGCGTTCGGCGCAGGGGCCGCGGCACAAGCCCCGAGCTCCAGGCCCGCCGAGGCCGTCCGCG